TTAAAGTTACAAAGAAACAATATTTAATTGGTTTTATATTGGAATACGAATATTCCTAAATAAATCCAACTCTACATTAAATATTTAAACCCCAATATTAATTTTATATTTAACAAAAACATCTCTAAAAATTAAAAATTACATTTTTTGGAAAAAAATAACTTCTAAATTGTTTGAATAAAGTATAAATTTAAAACTTATTATCAAACGTTCCGTAAAAAAACTAAATCGTTATGGTGGAAATTGAAGATAAGGAAAAATCAATTGAATCATTCATCTTCATCATGCATCCACAGTTGTGGTTGTAAGGAATGCTTCCCATTGCGAAATGTTCATCGGTAAATGCCAGCAAATCTTTGAAGAGCATCCAGATGCTTTCGTTGGCGACCACGTGAACTTTCGGGATCGGGAAACCATTGAATGTGCTTGCAACTGGTAAAGTGTACGCGCCCATGTCTTCAAAAACGACCCAATCGCCTTCTTTCATGTCCGGAAGCGACGCCTCTTCAATGACTTGGTCCAGTCCGTCGCATGTTGGTCCCCAAATGCTGCTGGAATACGACTGGCCGCCAGAGTAGTCCTTTAAAGGTTTCGGAACAACCACTTGGTGGTCATACAAAATGCAGTTGAAACTTCCGTAGACGCCATCGTTGATGTAGTACATGCGGTGCTCGGAGCTTTCCCCATTCGCGTTGAACTTCATTTTCATCAAATTTGTGAAATTGTAAAAACAATTGTCTTTTAAAATATGGCGATGGTAACTCAAAACTTGGTAGCAATAAATTAAATGAACATGTAGTTTAATGTGTATGCTAACTTGTAAAACTTACTTTGTTTAAAACAAAGTTATAACGATATTTGATTTTAAAATGTTTTTAGTTTATTTAAATATATTGAGCTGGCTTTTTCTTAATTTATAAATTAGATCATTTTAATGGGCTTGTAATTGCGAAACTTTTCTATAATTCAACAGTATTGTAGCACCATGTATATATTATTTCATAACAAGAATATGAGGGAAAAATCAAAGAATATATAATTTAATTTTAATTTTATTTATAATTGCATGCACTATATATTAAAATATATTTGATATTAGAATACGTAGTATAGCACTTCGAGAGTAATGCTATACTAAAACACAATATTAATACATTGCATCCGATATTTATAAGCTATAAGCTGCCCCCTTGCTTATACGTTAAAGTTACAAAGAAACAATATTTAATTGGTTTTATATTGGAATACGAATATTCCTAAATAAATCCAACTCTACATTAAATATTTAAACCCCAATATTAATTTTATATTTAACAAAAACATCTCTAAAAATTAAAAATTACATTTTTTGGAAAAAAATAACTTCTAAATTGTTTGAATAAAGTATAAATTTAAAACTTATTATCAAACGTTCCGTAAAAAACTAAATCGTTATGGTGGAAATTGAAATAAATCCAACTCTACATTAAATATTTAAACCCCAATATTAATTTTATATTTAACAAAAACATCTCTAAAAATTAAAAATTACATTTTTTGGAAAAAAATAACTTCTAAATTGTTTGAATAAAGTATAAATTTAAAACTTATTATCAAACGTTCCGTAAAAAACTAAATCGTTATGGTGGAAATTGAAGATAAGGAAAAATCAATTGAATCATTCATCTTCATCATGCATCCACAGTTGTGGTTGTAAGGAATGCTTCCCATTGCGAAATGTTCATCGGTAAATGCCAGCAAATCTTTAAAGAGATTCCAGATGCTTTCGTTGGCGACCACGTGAACTTTCGGGATCGGGAAACCATTGAATGTGCTTGCAACTGGTAGAGTGTACGCGCCCATGTCTTCAAAAACGACCCAATCGCCTTCTTTCATGTCCGGAAGCGACGCCTCTTCAATGACTTGGTCCAGTCCATCGCAAGTTGGTCCCCAAATGCTGCTGGAATACGACTGGCCGCCAGAGTAGTCCTTTAAAGGTTTCGGAACAACCACTTGGTGGTCATACAAAATGCAGTTGAAACTTCCGTAGACACCATCGTTGATGTAGTACATGCGGTGCTCGGAGCTTTCCCCATTCGCGTTGAACTTCTTCACGTGTATAATGGAATGAATGTTGCAGGCCAAAGTGTAGGCGGAACTGACGTAGAAACGGCCGGGCTCGGCAATAACCTGCACTTCGGGATCGGGGAAGTAGGTCTCCAGGTCCAAGTTAATCACTTTGGTGATCTCGTCTAGAGTTTACATACGACCGCCCGGGTAACCGCCACCGATGTCCAGAAGATTTAAGTTGAAGCCCACTTGTGTCACTTGGAAGATAGATTTTTTTATTATGAAAAATGTCTCCTTCGTCACATGTCTCTTTTGTCACACTGCACTGCTGTCGCTACGACATTAAAACTTAAAAATAAGAGACTCTTTAAGGGAAACTTAACTGCTGAGAGTAACATTAGAATTACCTTTAGTTTGCCTAAATAATAGTCACAATGGATATGAAAATGAGAAATATATATTTTTTAGAGGTAGATAGGGCTAAAAATTATAATGACCCATATACAGTATCCTTCTATGTATGGGTATCTTTTTATTACAAGACCTACAAGGTTGGTTAAATTAGTCAAAATTTGTGTAATTACAAGTCTATTAAAATGGCATTTAAAAATTGGAAAAAAATCTGCGATTCTCAAATAATTTAAAAAAAACTAAAAACCTGTCAAAACCAAAAATTGTGATTTCTGAGAATTTTGAAAAAAATAAGTTTTAAAAAGTTTTAAATGTAAACATACACATTTATCTACATTTTCATCAAATTCGTGAGATTGTAAAAACAATTGTCTTTTAAAAGATGGTGATGGTAACTCAAAACATGGTAGCAATAAATTGAATAATAATTTTGATTATTGTGTATGCTAACTTATAAAACTTACTTTGTTTAAAACAAAGTTGTAACGATATTTGATTTTAAAATGTTTTTAGTTTATTTAAACATATTAAGAACCGCGCGCAGGTTTTTCTTAATTTATAAATTATATCATTTTAATAGGCTTGTAATTATGAAACTTTTCTATAATTGAACAATCTTGTAGCACCCTGTATATATTATATCATAACAAGAAAATGAGGGAAAAAATCAAAGAATATATAATTTAATTTTAATTTTATTTATAATTGCATGCACTATATATTAAAATATATTTGATATTAGAATTGTAGTATAGCACTTCGAGAGTAATGCTATACTAAAACACAATATTAATACATTGCATCCGATATTTATAAGCTATAAGCTGCCCCCTTGCTTATACGTTAAAGTTACAAAGAAACAATATTTAATTGGTTTTATATTGGAATACGAATATTCCTAAATAAATCCAACTCTACATTAAATATTTAAACCTCAATATTAATTTTATATTTAACAAAAACATCTCTAAAAATTAAAAATTACATTTTTTGGAAAAAAATAACTTCTAAATTGTTCGAATAAAGTATAAATTTAAAACTTATTATCAAACGTTCCGTAAAAAAACTAAATCGTTATGGTGGAAATTGAAGATAAGGAAAAATCAATTGAATCATTCATCTTCATCATGCATCCACAGTTGTGGTTGTAAGGAATGCTTCCCATTGCGAAATGTTCATCGGTAAATGCCAGCAAATCTTTGAAGAGCATCCAGATGCTTTCGTTGGCGACCACGTGAACTTTCGGGATCGGGAAACCATTGAATGTGCTTGCAACTGGTAGAGTGTACGCGCCCATGTCTTCAAAAACGACCCAATCGCCTTCTTTCATGTCCGGAAGCGACGCCTCTTCAATGACTTGGTCCAGTCCGTCGCATGTTGGTCCCCAAATGCTGCTGGAATACGACTGGCCGCCAGAGTAGTCCTTTAAAGGTTTCGGAACAACCACTTGGTGGTCATACAAAATGCAGTTGAAACTCCCGTAGACACCATCGTTGATGTAGTACATGCGGTGCTCGGAGCTTTCCCCGTTCGCGTTGAACTTCTTCACGTGTCTAATGGAATGAATGTTGCAGGCCAAAGTGTAGGCGGAACTGACGTAGAAACGGCCGGGCTCGGCAATAACCTGCACATCGGGATCGGGGAAGTGGTCTCCAGATTCAAGTTGATCACTTTGGTGATCTCGTCTAGAGTTTACATACGACCGCCCGGATAACCGCCGCCGACGTCCAGAAGATTGTGTCACTTGGAAAATAGATTTTTTTATTGTGAAAAATGTCTCTTTTGTCACACTGCACTGATGTCGCTACGACATTAAAACTTAAAAATAAGAGACTCTTTAAGCAAAACTTTACTGCTGAGAGTAACATTAGAATTACCTTTAGTTGGCCTAAATTATAGTCACAAAGGATATGAAAATGTGAAATATTTATTTTTTAGAGGTAGATGGTGCTAAAAATTATAATGACCCATATACAGTATCCTTCTATGTATGGGTATCTTTTTATTAGAAGACCTACAAGGTTGGTTAAATTAGTCAAAAGCTGTGTAATTAAAAGGGCATTTAAAAATTAGAAAAAAATCTGCGATTCTCAAATAATTTAAAAAAAACTTAAAACCTTTCAAAACCAAAAATAGTGATTTCTAAGAATTTTAACAAAAAATAAGTTTTAAATGTAAACATACACATTTATCTTCATTTTCATCAAATTTGTGAAATTGTAAAAACAATTGTCTTTTAAAATATGGCGATGGTAACTCAAAACTTGGTAGCAATAAATTGAATAAACATGTAGTTTAATGTATATGCTAACTTGTAAAACTTACTTTGTTTAAAACAAAGTTATAACGATATTTGATTTTAAAATGTTTTTAGTTTATTTAAATATATTGAGAACCGCGTGCTGGCTTTTTCTTAATTTATAAATTAGATCATTTTAATGGGCTTGTAATTGCGAAACTTTTCTATAATTGAACAATCTTGTAGCACCCTATATATATTATTTCATAACAAGAATATGAGGAAAAAATCAAAGAATATATAATTTAATTTTAATTTTATTTATAATTGCATGCACTATATATTAAAATATATTTGATATTAGAATTGTAGTATAGCACTTCGAGAGTAATGCTATACTAAAACACAATATTAATACATTGCATCCGATATTTATAAGCTATAAGCTGCCCCCTTGCTTATACGTTAAAGTTACAAAGAAACAATATTTAATTGGTTTTATATTGGAATACGAATATTCCTAAATAAATCCAACTCTACATTAAATATTTAAACCCCAATATTAATTTTATATTTAACAAAAACATCTCTAAAAATTAAAAATTACATTTTTTGGAAAAAAATAACTTCTAAATTGTTTGAATAAAGTATAAATTTAAAACTTATTATCAAACGTTCCGTAAAAAAACTAAATCGTTATGGTGGAAATTGAAGATAAGGAAAAATCAATTGAATCATTCATCTTCATCATGCATCCACAGTTGTGGTTGTAAGGAATGCTTCCCATTGCGAAATGTTCATCGGTAAATGCCAGCAAATCTTTGAAGAGCATCCAGATGCTTTCGTTGGCGACCACGTGAACTTTCGGGATCGGGAAACCATTGAATGTACTTGCAACTGGTAGAGTGTACGCGCCCATGTCTTCAAAAACGACCCAATCGCCTTCTTTCATGTCCGGAAGCGACGCCTCTTCAATGACTTGGTCCAGACCGTCGCAGGTTGGTCCCCAAATGCTGCTGGAACACGACTGGCCGCCAGAGTAGTCCTTTAAAGGTTTCGGAACAACCACTTGGTGGTCATACAAAATGCAGTTGAAACTCCCGTAGACGCCATCGTTGATGTAGTACATGCGGTGCTCGGAGCTTTCCCCATTCGCGTTGAACTTCTTCACGTGTCTAATGGAATGAATGTTGCAGGCCAAAGTGTAGGCGGAACTGACGTAGAAACGGCCGGGCTCGGCAATAACCTGCACTTCGGGATCGGGGAAGTAGGTCTCCAGGGCCAAGTTGATCACTTTGGCGATCTCGTCCAAGGTTTCCATACGACCGCCCGGATAGCCGCCGCCGATGTCCAGAAGATTGAAGTTGAAGCCCACTTGTCTGGCCATGTTGAAGACGTCTCTGGACGCCGAGATCGCTCTGCGGAACACGTCCGGTTCGCGGCATCCGGAACCCACGTGGAAGCTGACTCCCACCACGTTGATTCCCAAGGTTGATGCTTTGTTTAGCAGAAGAGGCGCTTCGGTGACCGGATCGCAACCGAATTTAATGCCTAGAGGGCATTGGGCATCGGTGGCGTCGCAACGAATGCGGATAACCATACTGAAAAAGGAAAATATAAATTAGAATATTCTTTATTTTTTTCTTATTATTATATACAACATACTTGCAGGGTGATTCATTTATATTGCGAAAAAAAAGCACGTTGCAATTTTTTAAAATTCCTGATATCTAAAAATTCCTTATTCCAACTTTTGTAACTCTGGGTTTGTTCTTAAAATTACGGCCAGTTTTTTAATAGGCTAGTTAAATCCAGAGTTGAATAACTCTGGCTTATCTCCGATTTATCCGACAATTCCGAGTTTAGGTCGCGTTTGGGTTTTTCAATTACAATCATAGTGAGGATTTATCAACTCTAGCGCGTTGTCATGGTAACGACTGCACGCCAATGTCATTTTTGCCTGTTTTGCGGTTTTAACTTAAAAAAAAAAAGGCTCGATCTACAACTTTTTTTCGGCTAAAAAGAAAGTAAAATGCATAAAAAATTAGGAAATCGCAAGAAAGTCATGGGTACTACCCAGCCGTTGACGGGGCGCAAACCTGTCCGGCTAACCGCACAGCTAATTCAAGACAAAAACCGCAGGGTAAGCAAAATTGGTTTTCCGCGGATAAAGCGTCATTTCTACAACGAATAAAATTAATTAATTAAGCTGAGAGCCGTCTTGGAACACTTTTTGCTAAATAAACTTTTCACCTGTTTGTAGGGTAATGTATTACATCAAAATCTCCTCTAAAAAATTTTCTACCTTTCTTGGAGACAACCGAAATCTGGTTAAAAAATTAATATTGTCCCACATTTCAAAATGATTTATTCTTGGACAAATAACTTTTGGCATTTATAAATATACATCATATTCCCACATTATCACTTTACACAACACTCACAACAGAACGATATATAACCTCTTTTTATTTTAATTCTTACTTAACTCATACCCTTTCTGGGAATTAAAGTAACTCTGAGTTTAATATAAACTCGGGGATCAAAATGAATTAAAAAACGCGAATTTAGTTAACTCCAAATTTAACTCGGGGTTTGAAGTTAAATCTCGGATTAAATCACATTGAAAAACTGGCCCTTAATGGTAATCTTTTAATATTAATTTTGATACAAGACTTTCGTAATAAGGTCTTGCAATGGGTCTTTTCAGACTAATATTTGTATATTTTACTATAAAAGACCCATATATGGCAATTTTTAGTATCAAGGTATCAAGGAGACTTTAAAAAACCATTGAAGTGCCAAAATGTTTTCTGTATATAAAATTTAGATGAACCTTAATTATCCTTTGGTTAACGCCATATTTTAAAAATGACGCGCAGTGTAATTCCTAGTTTTAATAGTGTGCTATATACACATACAATAAATAATTTTAAATATTTTCTATTTATTTTAAGGTTTTTATTTATTTAATTATTATGAATTCCATTTATTACCCAATACCTAAATAGTTTTAAAATAAAAATTGTATGTTTTACTTATGCAGTTCTTTATTACAACTCAGCGCTTTGTATTTTTATGAATGTTTTAGTATTACATTTCACAATAATATATTAATTAATGTAATGGATAAGTAAAGTATTTATTATGGTGAATTAAATGTGGTTTATTTATATTTATTGGGTCGGATAATCCACTATAATCCGAAAGTCAGAAATTGTAATGTGACGGTAGGGATAACAATTTGTGATTATAAATATATATACCTACCAAATTTAATCCACCATAATAATTAATTCACTTATACATTAAAAAATATTTAATTAACCACTATAGAATCTTTAACACCCTATATCAGAAACATTAGCTTGCCACATTTGTTCTTTTAATCTGCCATATCAGAACCTTTAGCGCGCCATATAAAAAAATGGAATGGTTCTTGTAAGTGCCTTTATTGACTGCCTTTACATGCTCCTTAAAGGTGAACGCATAATATGTACAGTTCCATTAGAGTTAGACTTTAGTTCATTAAAGGCACGTTATAGAACCTTTGTGTTTGTGTTTGCTGGGATGGTAGTTATGATTATTATAACAATAGTTATAAAGTCGTCACTAAAATTAAATATTAAATTAAACTTTCGAAAACGACTGTATAAAAATCCGACTTTAACAATGCCACGAAAATGCGATAGTAGAGTACAAATTCCATTTAAATGTCGGTCATTAATAATTTTAGTTATTTTATCTTTAAAATTGTATAACATAAATTTTAATAGTTTTGTATGAACTTAACATTTTAAAGTTTTTTATATTTAATTTATAAGTAGGTAGGTACCTATGTTGGACATAATTATAAATATTTGGAATTGCAAAAACAAGTTTTAGAATGTTAAAAACTAGTGCTGTACAATTTAGCCGGTCAAGCCGGCCAAAAAAGTTAGCTAATTAATTAGCTAGCTAACTGATCAGCTTAACTAATTTAACCGGTTAACAATTAGCTTAGCTAATTAGCGGCGGCTTAACCGGTTAATTTAGCTTAGCTCAGCTAATTAGCTAATGGCTAACCGGCTAATTTTTTTTAAGCTATATAATGATTTCTTATTCGCGGACAGGTTAAAAAAATAATAATATTGATGTTGTTTTTGTGAACTCTTTTTTTAATTTTTTAGGACAATTATTAGAACTTGCCCCCGATCAAACACTTATTCCATGGGTATATCTAGGGATTGCAATCCAGCAGGGTTTTTAATCCAGCTGGATTTTTGCTGGATCAAGATAAATCCAGCTGGATACAGCGCGGATCCAGCAATTAATAATTTTTTTAAAGAAAATTAAAGAAAAATGTTATTATTTTTATAAAAAAAAAACTAAAGTAGGTACCAATTTATAGAAAATAAAAATAAATGAAATAAAATTTTAATTCGACTGCAATTAAAATAATTTAATTTATTGATAACTAAAATTTTTCATTAATATTTTTTTTTAATTAAAACATTAATTTTACGAACTGATTTATACTTTAAAAGCTTGAACAAAATTAATGTAGAGATTATGATAATTATCTTAATTTTCTGTGTTTTTTGTTCAATGTAACTACTGTTTGTAAATAAATTAAAATTTAAATTTAGTCAAATTACTCAAGAAGACACTTATTTAGCATGAAACTTTATGAAGCGAGAGCGAAAAGTGCAGTGTAGAAAGGGGTGTAGCACGTGTCGGAAGCGTGACACAACGGTAAGGTGGCTACCGCCGAGAATGCTGGATCCAGCAGGCTGAAAAATGCGCTGGATCCAGCTGGATTGCTGGATAAGGGATCCGGCAATTGCAATTCCTAGGTATATCCCCAATAGGTGACTAAAACTTACTTTGCATCTGGGTGATGTTCCTTGACTTTCTCCAACTCCAGCTCGTTGTCGAAGGTCATAGTCATCACGCCTACAGAGGCGGCATGGCGGATATGACTCTTCATCTTGGCCGGGTTGGCGAAAATGATGCGGTTGGGTTCGACGCCCAACGAGAGTACCTTGTTGATTTCGGACTTGGACGCGCAGTCGAAGCTGGTGCCCAGAGCGGCCAAAACCTCCAAAACGGTCAGGCTATCGTTGCATTTGACGGCGTAGTGTGGAACGACCCTGGGAAGGGTCGCTTTCCAGATCTTGTGCTTGCGCACTATGTCGCCCATGTCGCACACGTAGAACGCGTCTTCTTGTTCGGTATCAGTGACCTAAAATAAAAAGAAACCATTTTATACTTGAACAACCCAAGCAACAGTTTAAGTATTTGTTACGGGGACTATTGAAGATACTTTAAAGTGTTATGCGACAGTCGCCGGTCTCTTTATATTACTCTTTCATTACTAAGTTACGACTAAAGTGGGGAACAATTATTGAGTTCCAAAAAGGTAACAAATATGTCACTAGCTATAAACCCTGCTACTATTTGGAACGTAGCTGCTACGTTACTAGAACGTTTCAATATCGTTGCTAGATATTTACTATAATTACTTTTATTTATTTGTTTTTACTTCTATATTAACTGACTTCTATAGAAGTCAGTTATAGTGGTATTAATATCTCATGGCGGGTGACCTTGGGCGCGCAAACGTCACAAATCCGTCAAATCGCGCGATTACTCGCCGTCCTAAAAACATACTACCCCAGGGTTGGCAATGCTAGCATCAGCTGATATTTATTGACATATTTAAACATATTTATAGGCTAGAAATTCTATTATATTTGTTATATCATATTTGTCATATCATATTTGTTATAATATTATATTAAAGTTTGTTATAATATTATATTTGTTCTATTATTATATTTGTTATATTATATTAAATTTTGTTATAATATTATATTTCTTATACGAAATGAATAACGGCAAAAAATAAGTCATTAATTCGGATTATACACAGATTCTATTCTTTTTTTTACTGAAATCCATTATATATTTTACAGATCATTGCTAAAGAATTTAAGACCTTGCTGCAAAAAGGGGGTAACTTTTACAAAAGTGACTTTTACACCCTTACAACTGTGAACTAGACTATTCTGCATTGTTTAATGCAAAGATTACTCAAAAATAACTTTTATGGAGTTACCTCCTTTTTGCAGCAGGGTCTTCAATTGCAGTCATTATGTAATATTACAATATATTTCATAAAATAAAGAAAAAAACGCTTTACTATATTAATTGACAGATGACAGATTTGGGAAGCATCCATAGACATTTAAGTTAACTTAAATGTCTATGGAAGTGGCGGATGTTTTTAGTTTCCATTTATTTATTAAATTGAATGGCGTCTGTCAGCGTCTCTCAAGGTCACCCGCCATGAGATATTAATACCACTATAATATAGGACTTGGCTTTTCAATGTCGTCGTTTATTAAATATGTACTGGTACACAGCAAACGGAAAAATATAGAACTGCCCATACAGCACAATACATCCCATGGACGTCCATTAATGGTCCATTTTACGTACGTACGTTCATAGACCTAAAATGGACGTCCCAGGGATCTTCATTAGGTTACGTCCAATGGACATAGTAGTAAATACATCCATAATACGTCTAATAATGGACGTATTCATTTTTGATCAGAAAGTAAAGTCCATTTAACGTCCAGCAATGTCAGGGCCGTATCTAGACTAAAATTTCGGGGGGGTTAGACCAGTGGCATTTGAATTTTTTTTTTAAGGTTTAAAATAAACAATGTATTATTCCTGTATTCGTAACTCAAATATTAACAGAGCTACAAGAATTTGGCAAAAATTGAAAAATAGGTTATATCTCCTAAACAAATGCAAATCGAGAAAATTCAAAGACATCATTCAATGTATCTTTAAAAAGAGGACGGGGATGCGTGGTCAAATTTTTTCTAGCATTTATATTTACTGAGATAGCCTATACGGGACAACCAATTTTGGACACCCTGTACAGTATTTGGTGGAACATAGTACTTATCTGTAATACAAATAAAAAATTGCAATGTATGTTTAAAAAAAACGAGTTAAAACAGTATACCAAGTATATACTGTTTTAACACGTTTATTACCTAATGTTAAATTAGGGGCTTTATAGCAAGCTCTAAATTTAAATGTTTAAATATTTTTATTTATAGTTATAAACAGTTTATTGAAATTAAGGACTTTTTATTTAACCTACCCGCTGCAGTGAAATAAGCACGTCCATTGCTTACATTAAATGTACGTCCGTAAGTAACATCTAATGGACGTCCAAAACTGTGACAAAGCGACCTTAAATGGACATCCGATGTATGTCGATGGACGTTCAATGTACGTCCACAAGCACAAAAATTAACGTTATATGGACGTCCTTTGTACGTCTTTGTGCTGTATGGGTGTATAGGATGACTCCGCGTTTTATCAGAACTGTATTGAATCGTGCTTTGTTTTTATATTTTTCGGCTTTATACCTATGCACGACTATATTTAAAGTCAAACTCAATGGTGTCTTACAAGATACATTATTTTGATTTTATATATTCAACAGAGAGGTAGAAACTCGTTCCTGTCGAATGGTGCAGTCATTTATGTCTCTAGAAATTATTAAAAAAGGGTTCAGTCCAATGGTGCAGCAACTTCGGATTCCTATTCTCTTAGAATAGAAACTCAAGCTTTTCGAATTTTACTGGCAATGATTTTCGTTAATGTCCCCGAGAATTATACAAAAACAGCGCAATGCAATATCGCAACGGTTTCGACTTCTCTTTACTCTACCAAGTTATAGAAACTGGAGTCTCTCTAATACTGTTCTAGTTAATATTTCTGAGAGTATAAAAAGAAGGTGTAATATTGCAAGAAGTTTTGATCTTTTGATGGATGCAAGTAGTTTGAATTTTCTCATTTCTGCATATGATTTTGTTGAAAATAGTTTCTTTCTTTGGTTCCTTTGTCTGATTTTTATTTACCGTAACAACTCAGGTATTTAAAGCACAGAGGATATGATTTTTAGTATATTTATGTATTATATAAAGTACCTATATTTGTATGAAAAATTTCAGAGGTTATGTTGAAAAAATGATCGATATGTTATTAAACTTTAATAATTTAGTAATTAGGTCTGTCGGTAGACCCTGCACTATCTCCACTGGTATATGTTAGTACAGCAATATTTAAATCTGGTTGATAAAAAAGTACACACCAGTGCAGGTTATTGTAGCATCTACGAACAAATGAATTAATGGCCCATTGGCAAAATTATTCCTTTAAGAAAAATATTCAACACAGCTTAATTAATTAATAAAATGAAAAAAATCACAATCATATCGTATAAAGTTTTTTTTAAGCATAAAATAGTTTTCCTATTAATACTAGTTCAAAAGTGAAATTACGACCTCTATATTGTGGAGAGTATTGAAACGCTCGACTGACGAATACAAATCTATACCGTGGGGAGATTTAGAAAACCATATTCAAACGTGGCGTCATCCTATACACTTCTATAATTTTCCGTTTGCTGTGTAGTTTATAACTTCCAGAATAACAATATAATGTTTAATTAGGCAGGTAAATTTATAAACCCTTTAAATTTTACTGTTGAACTTATGAATTTAGTTTTTGTAAAATAAATGCGCTTTATCAATATTTAAGTATAAACAAATTATTTATTTAATAATGTTTATAAATAAAAAAATCTTAATATTTATTATTAATTTTTTATTTAATTATTAATACCGTCTATTACCAACAAAATTACTATTTATTAAAAAATAAACAACCACAAAAAATTAAAATAATTTATTATTTACATTACCACGTGGTACTGTACAGTAAAAAATGGCCGATAAGAAGCATTTTCCTTTGAAGGAGTTTTCAATACGTTAAAGTATTTTTCCACCTTAATTTACTTTACGGTAGTTTTGGTTATATAAACGTTCCAAATACTAAAATAATAACTTTTAAGTTGTTAACTTTTTAGTTTTTAACTCATGTTCCAGTTTCGAGATTTTAACTTGCAAGGGGACTACAAAGTAAAAATAGTTATAATGTAATCTTTAGGTAGCAACCGAAAGTAACTGCTACAAATTAAATTTACTTGACAGTTTTTTTTTACTTATAACACCCTTTTTAAAGTTGCAAAGTCTTCTTGGGGGCAACCAAGTTTTACTTAAATGTTTATTACTTTATAGTAACCATTTAAGGAAATAATGAAGTTTCTGTTACAAAGTATTGCTATTTAAAGTTAGAATTACTTTTAAGTAAAAATTAAAAGCTGTTTAATATACTTAACTAATTTAAAGATATCACCACTTTGGTAATGGTTTTTGGAACCAAAAATGCTCCTTTTGCTCAATGAAGACAAAATTTTCAAAAAATGTTTTACACTCGTGATTAATATAGTTATGACGTAATTACCTCTCTAATGACATCCCAAACTTTGGTCTCAGGCTCGAGGATGTGGAAACGTTCGTCGGAATTGCTGATTTTCATTTTGATTGATTTGATTTGTTTTTCTTTTGGAAAGATGTTGTCGTTAAATATAAATGTAATTGTGACGTACTAAGCAAGGAGGCAGCCCGTGCTCAGAGTTGAACAGGGTTGTGTGTTTTCAGGTAAGCGGGTAAAAAGTCAGCGAGTTCTGATCAGCTAGAAACCCCAAGGTGGTTCGCCGTTCAGGAAGATTCTCCAATTGTACGGAAGGATCTCGCTATTGTTTGCTGGTGAAGCCTCGTCTACGTTACAACCCTAAAAAACAGAACATAATTAATAAAAAAAATATTTTTTTAATTTAGGTTTTTTTTTAATATGGACAAAAATAAAGGTAAATCTATATCTTGAAAGAAGTTTGTTTTTGTTAACACTAGAAGGTTGTGGTGGGATTGTCTAGGTCAAAAGTTTTTTAAACTTAAAATAAATCGAAAAAAAATATTAATAAATGATTATTTTTGGCAACTATTATTTTTTAATTTATGATATGGGTAATATTGTTATTTATTTTTTTAATTTTGTATTTTTATTAAAAAATGCCTAGATTTCAAAGATTAACATAACATTTTGTAAATCTATATCTTGAAAGAAGTTTGTTTTTGTTATAACACTAAAATGTTGTGGTGGGATTGTCTAGGTCAAAATCTTCTTAAACTTAAAATAAATCGGAAAAAATATTAATAAATGATATTATTTTTGACAACTATTATTTTTTAATTTATGATATATATTTATTTTTTTAATTTTGGTATTTTTATTAAAAAAATCCTAGATTTCAATAATTAACATAACATTTTGTAAATCTATATCTTGAAAGAAGTTTGTTTTTGTTATAACAATAAAATGTTGTGGTGGGATTGTCTAGGTCAAAATCTTCTTAAACTTAAAATAAATCGGAAAAAATATTAATAAATGATATTATTTTTGACAACTATTATTTTTTAATTTATGATATATATTTATTTTTTTAATTTTGGTATTTTTATTAAAAAAATCCTAGATTTCAATAATTAACATAACATTTTGTTTTTTACACTTTTAGCGCATTATTTAACAGGCAATTTTAATTATTAAATTTAATATTATTATACAGGATTTTTTCGATTTTATAAACAAGACCTGGTTAGAAAAGCTGCTGCTGCTGCAAATTTATTATTTTGAGAAATAAATGTTTTACTTTATTTTTTTATCCTGAAAATTCGAACTAAAATATAGCGTTAAACATGCTTTACTCAAAAAAATAAATTTTTAACATAACAACTTTTACCCTGAGGTCTTTATTTATAAAAAAACTCAATAAAATATAATATTCCCAGGGCCGAGCCGTGCCGGGGGTGCAAGGGGTGCATGGCACCCGGGCGGCACTAAGACAGGGCGGCAAAATATCAAATTATCAAGAATAATAAAGCCACCTTGCATTATGCAAAAAACTTTCTAAAAATCACTTGCGTTTTATTGATGTCGGCATTTCAAGGAATCATCGTTTTTATTCTACACATAAAAACAATGCCAAAATTGTGCTGTCAGGCGGCAATGATAAAAAAGACATAACCGAACGCGCGATAGCCACAAAAAATGATGATGACAATTTTCTTAAAGCCCGGTTTATAGATTGCCGCCCGCCCGCTTCGCTTTCCGTCCGTCCGCTTCGAGTTCGTCAAGTTTCATGTTTTACGGAAGCGGGCTTACGGGAAACCATATTGTTTTATTTATATTTTTATTGTACAAGCTGAACTGTTAAGTTAAAGCATAATTTCTTCCAAATTGACGACTGCGTATTTCAGCAATTTTTAGTTTTTCTATTAACGTGAGGCAAATAGGATGCAAACATAGTAGTTTCTTTTGTCTTTTAATGCGTTTGAGTTAAAAACTAGTTAATGATTTAAAAGGCATCTTTCCGAATTTATTTGTAGCTTTAAGAATATTTTTGACGTTGCAGTTACTGTTGCCCATGGAGAGCGGTCATTTTCGAAATTAAAACTAATTAAGACCTATTTAAGATCCAATATAAGTCAATTCAGGCTTTCAAATTTAGCAATTATAAGTATTGAAGAAGATATTTCTAACAACTTGGATGTAGGCGTCTTGATTAGGGAATTTGCTATTAAAAAAGCGAGTAAAGTAGATTTTAGTTTTTAAGTTTAGTTTAATTATTTTTGTTTTTTTTCCTGAATATATTTTTATTTTATTCTTTTATGTATTTGTTAATAAATACTTTGTTATTTTACTATAAAATTTGTTATATGTTTATTGAGAATGATAAATTATGAACTCCTTTCCTACCGACAACCTAATTTTTTACATTAATGGGTGCGGCAAATTTAATTCTTGCACCCGGGCGGCAGATACCCTAGGCTCGGCCCTGAATATTCCATTTTTATAGTAAAATAGCATATTTATTGCATGTTTTGTAAGGTTAAATTTTATAAATTGTAAATTATTGGGAGCAATAAATTTTTTTTATTATTATTATTATATGTAGGTAATAGCGGCTGTTATGGAAGCAACCCAAATATATTATAATAGGCTGTCAGATGTAGGTATTGATGAGTTTATTTTTAAAATTTAAAACCCTAATTAACATAAGTTCGTTATAATTCACAAATTTAAACTTTTTTCAAAATAAAAAAAAATTGTTTTTATATTGTTACCTAGCAATTTTTTTCTAAAAGGGTTGTAATAAAAACAAAATAAATAAGTCATTTATTTTATTACAGTTTGTATCAAAAATTATTAATATATTTTATTTTGTTTATACACTACGCGTCAAAATTAACGCAATCTTTATAAAATTTTGTATAAAAATACTTCAACTTATATGTCAGTTAACGGGTTTAAGGGTTTTTCGACAAAATATCCTTAAAGCCCTTTTATTTAATAATAAAAAATGCTCAAAAAAAAACTTTTATAGGAAAATTTATTTTTAAGTAAATAAAAAATATTTTGTGAAAAACCGTATTAAAGTCTACCCTGAAAATTTTGTACAAATCAAACGAACAGTAACGAAAATAAAGCGCTTCAAAGTCGTCAAAAATATTTTCTCGAAAAACCCTCGAACACTTAATCTGAGATATAAGTTGAAGGGTTGAGTGAAGAAGTCAATGGTTGAAGTATTTTTATACAAGATTGGTAAAGGCGTTTTAGAGTTACTTATTATGCGTTAATTTTGGGGTGGGCAGTGAATTAAACGTCCTTAGAAAAATGGTTTTCTATTCGTTTATATAAATAAATATCTTGAAACGTTTAAAAACAAAACAAAAATTAATTTTAAGGAGGTTTGGACACGAAAAGAAAATCTTAAATCAATTCGCCTGTAAGGCGGCAACATAGAATACACAAACGTGTAGAAATCGCCGCCTGGTTTGACAAAGCCTTAAAGTATCGTTTGTGTTGTGAATGTTAATAAAAATTTATTTGCAACTTCTACCGATCTTACTGGGATTTTGTTTTTGTCTTATAAGTTTCTATTACAACCTAGTTTTTTTTACATTTTTTTTACTTCATAACTCGAAAACTAGTTATCAGAAAGAAATATTATATTTACGAGTATCAAATTTTGTAGAAATTCAGAAATTTAATTTCGGATTATACTACTCTTTATTGAAATAGAACAAATTTGTAATTTTGTGTTTTGTAATTTTGGAACGTAAGCGTAGTTCTGGAACGATTTACTATATTTATAGTTGTTGCTATAAATATTATGATTTTTTTATTTTCTTATTTACACATAATTTATCATAATAAAAAATAAATCATTATTATTTAAAACCATTTTAAAAACTCGCCAGAACATTTTGATTAATAAATCTAAACATGTGCACATGCTAAAATATATAATTTTATTCAAGGATGTTTTTAATTAAACAAAATTTTTATTAACAATAAATGTAGTATAAATTTAAAAAAATGGTCTGTATAATCCACATGTTATAATAACGTTCAACTTCTAAGTGATAATAGTGATTCTCAAAATTTACAATAGATAAAAACCGTTACTATGTATTGAGATTTTTTAACACGTGATAATCTCAAGGATTTGTTTCACGACGCACATTATGTACAAGTAGGTATACAACCTATTTTGATAAAACTAATACACATAATTATGTGTATTTGCACCAAGTACAAAGAAGTAAATAAGTCAGTAAACTCTGAACTTGTACGACTTTTAATATTCCACAAATTTAGAATTTTACATTTAAAAATGTTTTTTAATATGAAAAGTAGTTTTCGGTACCTTGAATCGATGTATTCGCCGCAATCGAAATTCATTTAAACACATTCACAATTTGTTAAGCGGTGTACAACCATAGAGCGGTCGACACCAGAAGGAAGAATAAGGAAAATCGAATTGATTTCTTCAAATTTATCTTATTTTGAAGTCAAGGCGACTGACAATGCAAAGAAAAATTTTTCAGCGATAAAAAATATCATCCCCTCTCGCAAGTTTAATCTCTGATCTTCAACCTATCGCTGATATGTTTATTTTATTACGAATTATCAGTGACTAAGTTTCATTGGGTCGTTACACTAAGATAAGAAGATCTGGAACGAGAAGAAAAATAAAGGAAAGCCCCACGTTTCTGCAAAATATGATTTTTTGGACAAAAATGTAAAAGAAGTTATATTTAGAAATCTATTTTTGATGAGGATGTAGGTCAGAACGACAAATGCAGATACATACAAAATTTTACAAGAAATTAATAATTTCAGTTGATGGCCGGCAAACAGTGGATTAAAATCATAAAAAGTTTTTTTTTAATTTCTTCACTAAGTTTGAATTATTTTATGTATGAGCCTAAATAAAAAATAATTAATATAGGGCCATATGGGCCATAATTTATTTATATACGTCTAGTATACAGGGTGGACCATAAGTAAAAAGTTAGAATATTTATGAAATATATGCCCAAATAAATTAATAAATTAATGTCATTGTTTTTGTCAGTGTAATTGTAATTCATCTGGGCAGACAAAGTCTATTTAATAAATATTCTTACTTTAGGTAGAAAAATTAAAATTGATTTGGGGTGCATAGAAAATTTCCAATGGAAATATCTCGAAAACGGTGAATAGTAGATTTATAAAGCATAAGTTTTTTGAGCAAAAATTATCAAGGAAGCCATACTTCAAAGAAAAAATTAAGATAAACCTAGAATAAAAAATTACATCGTTAAAAAAATAGTGGAGGTGGCGCCATCTTTTACATATTAAAAAACGAACGACCAAAATTAAATAATAAGTAGAATTAACTTTAC